AAAAATACATAGGAAATCAGTCATCTACGTTAAAATAGAGATAGAGTAGGTATTCTTCATATTTACCAAAGGTAGTACATATTGAAATAACAGCATATTCAGTATAGAAAAGACTTGTTCCTGCGATTACAAAAAATCTAAATGATGAAAATTGTTTATTAACAACCTGTTTGAAATAATAAAGCAAATATATCATAACAACATAAGAAAGTTATTCGTTTTTGTAGGTACTTTTTAATTTATTGCAAACAGATACGTGAACAACAAATTCTTTATGACTAAGTCGATGTTGTTTTCAAGATCTCAATAACAAATTAGTCGACTGCTAAAAATATTTGCTAAAAATGTGCTAGTAATGACTCTTAGTATAGGCAACTCGTGAGTAGGCATTTGAGTAATATATGGCATCCCTAAAATGTTGACACATTTCATATTGTTTCATCTTAAGACTTTATTTCATATATATATTTTTGTGTTGCAGTTTATTTATAGTTTTAAAAATGGATTTTTAATAAGCGTAATTTATTCGTAAGTAAACGTCTATTGTATTATGAAACAGGTAGTGACTTAAATTAGGTCACAACTGTCTAAAGTCTGCAAAAAAAAACAAAACTGTGAACCTTAGAAAAATAGCCCAGACAACAAGAGATGTAACAAAATAGTGATGCTTCTACGAAAAAAAGTTTGTAACGACGCGACCGTACCTATTTATTTTGTCATGACATCAAATACAAACAGTTTTTTGTAAGATTTGGAAATATTTAGATCTTGACTTTAGTAATAATGGTAAGAATACACTTCAAATTACTGAAAACTATGAGAGCACATTTCTTTGTAGCATAAAATGCTGGTAATACATCAAGCAAGGAAGTGTGCCAAAACTGATTGCATATTTTCTTGAACTGCTTAATATAAAAGAGTATATTGGACACTAGTTTCGAGAATCTCTTACCTCCCTTTTAACAGATTATGGGTTATATCTCTTGAGTATAAAAAGATATAGCGGCTGGAAGTCTAAATAGATAAATCGCACTTTCTAGTAAAAACAAGAAACGATTGAATATGAAAGTTCTAGAATATTCCTTTGGAAGCCGTAAATATTGACTGAACATCCAGTTATTTCATCAACATCCAAAAATTATGTTTACAATCAAAATATTTCCACTTACTCAAGCATATTGTTAGTATCTGGCATTAATTTATCCAATTGTGAATATTTTACTGTGTGTATATAATGAGTTTTCTTATGACATATATAGTAAATGTCTCACTTGACTCCACTTTAGATACCTACTATAAAAATTTATTAATTCATCACAAAGTCAAGACTAAAAAAAAATTGTATTCCAACTTCCACGTTGATTAACTTTCCAAAAGTTACACAATTGTTAACAATATATTTCCACGAGCTAATGAAGCTACGAAGCGATTCCTTCAACGATTGAAATTTAAAAGAAAGAACTGAAGTTTGGCATATGGAATTTTAAGACAATGATCACGTGACTTAGATTTATTCGTTTTGATACAGAGTAAATTGAACTGTTTCGCTATACCCTAGAGTTTAATAGAGTATTAAATCAGTGATTTTGTGCATAAAAAATACGAATAACAAACGGACTGTGCCATCATATAAAAAGCAGTATTATGTGTTTCCTACTCCAATTTACCATTAATTAATTTTTTATAAATATTTTTATGCAACAACACGCATTTTTTTAGTTTTTTTGCTTATAAAACCTAAACTAACGAAGCAATGGTATACAGAGATAATTTGTAGAGAATCGTAATACGAAGAAAACGAGAGGTCTTTCGATGCGATCGGATAATTAGAAACGAAGAAAACCCGGAAATATCGAAAAATTTGGCGTTTTTAAAAAATTCATTACTCCGCAATCTTTTTAGATGTAGAGCTGACCCAGTGCACAAAAGTAGTGAATTATATGTACTTTAAGTGTGCACAATGCAGGTGCTGTCGGACCATTAGTTTTGACATAATTGCAATTTGAATTTTTTTCAAAATTTCTAGTTGCTTTGGAGGTGGTCTGATTTTAATTTTTCAGCCGGATTTTAAAAGTAAAAGTATAATACTACAAAACATATATTTTAATTTTCTATAACAATAAGCACTACAACATATGACAAAGTTAACGTAAAAAAACTGCCACTTTTAAAAGTCAATTTGAGATTAAAAAAAAAACAGAGAGGATTTCGAACTGTTAACTGTGTCATGTGTTTTAGCGGTAATCTAGCAGAAAACTTAATTTATAAAATCAACCCCTTGACTGATCCTTTTGACGCAAGGGTTTTTCAATAATTCTGCTTGTTAGTGTGACGAAAATACCGAACTACATAAATATGAAACGTCGTGTCTTGCTAAATGTTCAATTGTCTTTGTTGGACAATATATTTCTGGTAGTATTTCGTTTATTTTTCTATAAAAGAATTTCTTTAGCATATCTGTTTGTTTGTTGACCAAGTTTTATCTTACTTATACAGGGTGTTTCTAAAATAGGGCTCCAAACTTCTGCTGCGTTTACAACTCATTAAAATAAGCCAAAAAGTTCCTATTAACATGTGCCCTAAAACGCACCCTTAGGAAGTTATATGCCCTTAAAAGGGCTCAAACAAAACTTTTTTTTTTTTCAAATAAATTGCAGTTATGAAGGATCCGATCATTTAATAAATAATTTAGGACATAAACTAAGACTATTTAAATTTAGAGTTACACTTACTAATTAAAGAACTAATTACTACTGCAGACAATAGCTAAATGTGAAATAGAAAATAATGGGATTAAAATTAGTAATAATAAGTTAAATTACAAGAACTGCTCGAAGTGACCACCTTGCATTTCGATGCATAATCTAGCTCGACGCTTCAATGATTTGCGAACTCTTTGGAAAATTCTAGGTGTTTGCCTTATTTCCATGCACGCGGTTTCAATTTCCTCCCGTAGTTGCTGAATGGTCTCAATTGGAATTTTATAAACCTTTGCCTTAAGTTGACCCCACAAAAAATAGTCCAGGGGATTAAGGTCAGGGGAACGTGGGGGCCAGGGAACAGGACCTCCTCGGCCTATCCATTTTTCTCTATACAACTCATTTAAGTGTTGTCTTACATTATGTAGGTAATGAAGTGGCGCCCCGTCCTGCATAAACCATATGCTTTGGCGTTCAATTAAAGGGACATCTTCCAAAAGTCCTGGCAAGTCGTTAACTAAAAAATTGTAATAATCCTCACCATTCAATCGATTAGGCAACACAAACGGTCCGATTAGCCGATCGCCTAAAATGCCTGCCCAAACGTTGACGGAAAACCGAATCTGATGTCTGGACTGAAATATG